AGTGCTGAAGTCAAGTGAGTGAAGCTCGTAGTCGCGCTGAGCGGCTATGTGCAGCAGCACCCGAAGAGTGGTCATCTTCGGGGTGGGGGAGAAGGTCTGGAAGAAGTCAACTCCCTCTCGCTGACTGAAGCCTTGAGCCACGTAGCGCGCCTTGAAGACAGGCGGAGAACCCGGCGGCCGCTTCACCCTGAAAATCCACATGCCACTGACGATGTTCGCCCCAGGAGGGGGAACCTCGTCGACGTAGGTGCGTGTGGACTTCCAAGAAGCCATCTCGGCGTCCATGGCTGTCTGCCACTGAGAGGAGTAGGGACCCGCCATCGCCTCAGCGTAAGTGCGCGGGGTCGGGATGTCTGGTGCATCCGGGTCTCCCTCAGGGGCAACTAGCAAGGACACGAGACGGGGCAAAGCAGCAGCAAGACACTGGAACTCCTCCTGTCTGTCCTCAAGGACGTCCGTGCCAAGAGCACACTCACCCCCGACGGACGGAGGACAGACAGACTCAGACTCAGACTCAGCAACAAGGCTAGCAGCGTAGTCTAGACGACAGGCAGCAGCAAAGTCAACCAACTCAGCGACCAGAGCAGACGCAGCAGAGGACTCAAAGGTAGGGTCAGTGACAACAGTAGCAAGGAAACGCGTGACAGTGGGGTGCTCAGCACGATACCGGTCAGACTCAGGGTCCGGAACGTCAGGCAAAGAGGAAGCAGGAGGAGACGGTAGAGGGACACGCTGAGGAGCAGTAGAGGGACGCAGAGTCATGTAGTGAGTGCCTGGGACAGGAGGAGGACGCTCACGACGGACACGACTACCAGTGCGAGCACGACGAACAGGCGACGCAGGACGAGACTCAGGCTCACGACGCTCTGTAAGACCTCCTGTGGGACCAGTGTAAGGAGAGGGAGCAGGGAGAGACGAGGTAGGCGGTAACTGTGACTGCGGCTGGACAGGCGGAGGACACTCTACGGAGGGAGGAGGACAAGGAGGAGGAGTCTGCCCAAGAACCTGCTGAAGGAGCGGTACGAAGTACGGTCGCGGCCGCACAGCGTCTCCGGAAGCAGAGGAGACTCCAGCGGCCGGGTCCTCAGTACCAGTAGGAGCTCCAACGCCCGGGTCCTCAGTAGCAGCAGCAGTGCCACCGCTCGGGTCCTCAGCTCCAGCAGCAGCTCCACCGTCCGGGTCCTCAGCACCAGCAGCAGCGTCACCGCCCGGGTCCTCAGCTCCAGCAGCAGCTCCAACGTCCGAGTCCTCAGCACCAGCAGCAGCTCCACCAGGCGGGTCCGCAGCACCAGCAGCAGCTCCCACGTCCGGGTCCTCAGCACCAGCAGCAGCGCCACCCCCAGGGTCCGCAGCACCAGGAGCACCACTCCGAAGACTGCAGCGCCGTGTGTACCACTCGCGGATCTGCTGAATGGGGGGGAGCTCCTGGGTAGGAGGGGAAGTACCGGGACGAGCTCCAGCAGCACCTCTCCGGAGGCGGCAGTACTCGAGGTACCTCTCCTGCAGCTGCTGGGAGGAGAGGGCTCCTCCAGGTGTAGTACGCTCAGGCTCAGCACCCCCAGACTCAGCACCCCCAGGCTCAGCACCTCCAGGCTCCGCACCTCCAGGCTCCGCACCTCCTGGCTCAGCACCCCCAGGCTCCGCACCCCCAGACTCAGCACTCCCAGGCTCAGCACCCCCAGACGCAGCACCCCCAGGCTCAGCACCCCCAGACGCAGCACCCCCAGGCTCAGCACCCCTAGCAGGACGAGAGTCAACAGCTACCTCGACAGGCTCACCCGGGTCTACCTGGGACACACCTGAGGGAGCGGCACCCTGAGGGGGGAGGGGGTCTGGTACCTCAGCACCTGGAGCGAGGAAGAGAGGCGGGGGGGGGAGCGGGGCAGTGCGGTAGGGGAAGAGGCGGTAGTAGGGGACGGACTCGTCAAAAGTGACGTCCTGAGAGGCCAGGACACGACGCGAGGTGGGGTGGTAGAACTGCCAGCCAGGGGCGTCCGGGACAAAGCCAAGGAAGACGCAGGGGACAGCGCGACGGGAGAGCTTGTCCGCGGACGTGTCGCGGACAAAAGCTCGGGATCCCCAGACCCGAAAATGCGACGCATCGCCAGCCTCTCCCGTCCAACGCAGTGTCGGAGAAGTCTCGGGCAAGGAGACACGGGGCCAGAGGTTGAGCTGATGCGCAGCGTATCGGACTGCAAACGGCCACAGAAAATGGGGGGCAGCCGCATGGCTCAAGGAGGTACGAGCGACCTCCATGACCAGACCAATGCGGCGCTCAGCAACCCCATTCTGCTGTGGAGAGGCCGGAAGCGTGTACGACTGCTCAATGCCCTCCTGCTGACAGAAGGCCTCCAATAGGCCAGAGGAAAACTCTCCACCTCTGTCAGAGTGCAGACGCAGGACAGGGAAGTCGGAGCGGAAACGCTCACGGAGCTGGAGACGAGATCTGCGGATCCAAGGGATCAAGACATCAGGGACGTCACCCTTGGCGCGCAAGGGGAAGACCGTGGTGTAGCGCGAGAAGTCGTCAACAACAATCAGGAAGTACCTCTCCTGACCCTGACCACGGACGCGGGCTGGGCCCCACACGTCCATGTGGAGCGTCTGCAAGGGAGCAGTCGTCGGGGGAAAGGAGGAGGAGTGAGGAGCGGCGCGCTGCCGTCCCTCGACACAGGGAATACAGGGAGGAGCAGGCGAGTCGGGAAGGGGAGGGAGCACCCTGGGAAGACCAGCAACAAGGTCCCGTTGGTGCATGGCCCGAAGGCGCTGCACAGACGGGTGACCAAGGCGGTGGTGCCAAAGGACAGTCTCATGCGCCAGAGAGCGACACGAGCAGGGGGCGGACAGCTGACCTGACGCAGACGCAGACGCGGACGCAGCTACCTGAGGGGACTCAGTGGTCAGTGTGTAAAGGTCCGACCCCGGCTCCCGAGTGAAGGTAGCCAGGTGGCGACCCGTCCGAGCACACGTGCAGTGTGTCACGCGCTCGTAGGCAGGGGTGAACTGGTGAACACCCCCGTCCTGGAGCGCACTACCTGCCACCAAGTTCGTAGAGAACGAGGGGAGGTAGAGACCTGAGAGCTTGCCGGACGGAACCGCCGGACAAGGAAGGACAGTGGAGGAGGTCGCAATGACCGGACCCCCAGAGGGGTCAGCAAGGGAGACAGCAACTGGCCGAGCTAGTGGCTCAAGGACAGTGCGGTCACGAAAGAAGGAGCGAGAAGCACCTGAGTCCAGTGTGAAGGTGTGCAGTGCTGCAGTCGACTCAGTACCAGGGGGCACGGACGCACGAGCACCTAGGGCAGCAGCCTCACCAGGACCTGTGGGAGCAGACGCACTAGCACCTAGAGCGGCAGCCAGACTGGCCTGAATGCCCGGGTCGGGCGGAACACGCAAGTACTGAGCACCCTCTCCACTAATAGACATCGCATACATGGCAGTGAGAATAGCATCAAAGTCTAAAGCCCAAATATCAACACCCCTCTTTTCCAGATCAGCCCAGCGCGGCAGCTCAGTGGCAGCAGGAAACTGAGTGCGCCACGCGTCGTTAAGGCGCGCGAAGCAGCGCTGCGTGGGGTGCGGCCTCCCACACTGCTGGCCGCTGCGGTCACCTGTGCGAATGACGTACGTGCAGATAACGCTACGCTGCGCATACCACTCACGGGCGGCCTGAAGCGTCGGGGCGGGCTGCTGACTCTGCCCTCCGCCAGTGCCTCCACGACCACCACCCCCACCGCCGCCGCCCCGGCCACCTCCACCCCTGCCGCCGCCACGACCACCTCCGCCTCCGCTGCCGCCTCCACCACCACTCCCACCGCTGCTGTCTCCTCCCCCACTGCCGCCACTAGTCTCCCCAGCCGCGCCTCCACTCCCACCGCCTCCACCCCCACCTCCTCCGCCACCACCCCCACCCCTGCCCCCCTTGTTCCTGCGGCGCCCGCTCGAAGCAGACGCGGTCCCGACCTTCTCAGCACCAAGAAGGTCGACAGCAGCAGCAGAGGCGACAGAGGGGAGGAGGGGGGAAGGGGAACACCCCTCAAAGAACGGGGTGCGGGGGTCGCCACGAGAGGTGCCTACAGCGACAATGCTCGCCTCAGCTGCAAGCACTTCCTTCTCGAGGAGGGCAACAGTGAGCTCAGTGGGGGAGCGAGAGAGGAAGTGGTCCCTGACTGCGCGCAGAGAGTCAGGGAGGCGGGTGACGATGTGGTAGAGAGTGATCCAGAGTGGGGGGGGGTTGCTAGTGAGAAACTCGGCAGGCATAGCAGCGCGAAAGCGGGCCTCACTAGTCTTAAGGTGGGTGATGAGGTCTGCGACAGTGTGAAAGGAGGCTAGGTCGGGGAACAGGTAGGGGAGAGTGAGGCGGCCTAGCGTGGCAGAAGCGGGTGAGGAGTAGCGGGCAACTACAGCGGTGTAGAGGTCCTTAGCAGTCTTGCACTGGCCGAAGTGCTCGCGCTCGTCTAGCGGCAGGGAGTTGCGAATAGCAAAGCGAGCATGCGCATCACGGGTCTGCCACTGGGAACGCAGAGTGCTGTCAGCAGTCGAGTCAGGGGCAGTGGCATGGCCTAGGGCGTGGTCGTACAGTGAGATATCTTCCTTGGCAGTGAGCTGTAGGAACAGGTGTAGGTCATCTAGCCAGGTTTCGAACTTCACCGGACGGCCCTCGGCATCGAAAGCTAGAACGGGAGGACTAGCCATAGCGACAGTAGCAGTAGCAGTAGTAGTAGGAATCAGGCCGCTGGAAAGGTGTGCGGAGGGTCAACGGGGCCGGCGGGGCCGCTAGGTAAGGCGCAGGCGGGGTCGACTGTCCGTAGTGGCACACGAGCGGCAATAGTAGGTAGCGTGGCAGCAGGAGCTGCAACGGCGCACTGGTGGTAGCTGCAGTGGTAGCAGTGTGCGCGGTAGGTAGTAAATAAGCAGCAGTGAGAGCGAGTGCCTCGCGGGCGGCGGCTGCAGAAGCGCACGGGCGGCAGCGGCGCACGGGGAACGGTGGCGCACGGGCAATGGCGGCGCACGGGCAGCGGCAGCGTAGGGGCAGCGGTGCGCAAGCAGCAGCGGAAGCAGCGGCGTGCAAGCAGCTGCGGGCATCGGGGCGTGCGCGAGCAGACGACGGGCGGCTGCGGGCGGGCGGCCGCTGCGACGGCGGGCTGCAGGCCTTCGGGGCGTGCGCGAGCAGGCGACGGGCGGCTGCGGCGCACGGCAGTGGCTGCGGCGGCGGCAGCGAGCACGGCAGCAGCAGCAGCAGCAGTGCACGGGCGGTAGTAGCGGCGGCAGCGGCTGCGGGCACGGCAGAAACGCGGGAGCGGCAGCGGGCGACTCGCGGGCAGCAGCGGCAGCAGCAGCGGGGGACCGGCGGGCGGCAGCTGCAGCGGTGCAAATCGCGGGCCGGCGGGGCCGCGGCGGGCTGTGCGCTAGCGACGCAAAGGCGTGCGAGCAGTGCGCGGGCAGTGCGACGGGGCCGGCAGCGGGCAGCACGCAAGGCCGACGGGGCCGCTAAGGGGCGAGCGGCGGGGTCGTTCGAGGCGCTAAGGGGCGGCGCGACGGGGCCGTGAGGGGCCTCTAGGTCAAATGCGACGGGGCCGCGGGGCCTCTAGACGGGGCTCGATCGACGGGGCCAGCGGGGCCGAATAAAAATAATGAAGCGCTCGAGGGCGCTACGGGGGAGGCGCTAAGAACGCGCTCCGGTAGTAGGTAGGTAGTTAGGTAGCGAACGGTGGGCCCTTAGGAACGGTCCTAGAGAAGGACCTGCTCTGAAACCATGTCGTAATAACAGACTGGAATGACTGTACTAACAGAAGGCTGGATACAAATAGGAAACCCTAATCTAGTGTACCCCCTAAGGCGTAACCCACTACAGCCTACAACCATATAAACATATAATGTTTGACAGACCGCACCAATTGCCAAAGTGAAGTCGGCATCCGGGCACGCTCCCAAGGTGACGGGGGCGGGACGTGCTGCATTCAAGGGTGCCGATGGCAAGCCGGTGGTGCTGAGCGATGTGCTACTCGTCCCTGATCTCAAGGCGAACCTGATTTTCCTTAGTAAGTTGGGGAAATGTGGGGTCAACACTTCCACCGATGGTGCCAAGACATTCACGGGGCGGCTGGGAAAGCGGGTGTTGTGGGACCTTCATGAGAATCGCGATGTTTGCAAGTCAATGTGGCAGCTGCCGGTGGTGTTATGGGGCAAGGAGGGTGGATCCGAGGGGGAGTGCAATGCTGTAGCTGCAGAGGAGCTGAAAATTTCAGCGAGGAGCGGTGAAACGGACTGGATGACAGCCCACCGTCGCCTCGGGCACATAGCTATGCCCGCACTGCAGCAACTGCAAAAGGGGGAAGGGGTCAAGGGGCTAGAGCTGATTGGTGCAGCGGTCTCTCACAAGTGTGAAACTTGCATGCTAAGCAAGTTTACACGCTTCCCCTTTCATGCAACCGAGGGTGGCGGCAAGAAGCTCTTAGAGCTCGTGCACATGGATGTGGTGGGGCCGCTACCAGTGATAGGGGAACAGGGTGAGAAGTATTTTCTCACAATTGTCGATGATTGGAGCCGAGTGACTTGGGCCTATCCAATCAAGAAGAAGGACCACGTGCCGTCCATCATCCGTGACGATTGGCTGCCGTTGGTGGAGAAGCAGTCCGGGCACAAGGTGATGCGGATTAGGACTGACCGGGGTGGGGAGTTCCTTGGGGAGGAGCTGACTGCATGGCTGAAGAAGCAGGGCATCATCCGCGAGCTCACCACCTCATACACACCGCAGTCCAACGGCGTAGCTGAAAGGGCAAATCGCACGGTCTTGGAGACAGCACGTGCACTCCTAATTGAGTCGGGATTGGGGAACTCCAAGTGGCCACACGCTGTGCGCCACGTCACGGTGGGGAAGAACCGGGTGTTCACCAACGTTGGTGGTGAGTCATGGGTCCCCATGGAGAGGTGGCTTGGGAGGAAGCCGCCCATTGACATGCTGCGTGTGTTTGGCTGCATGGCAATGGCTCACATCCCTAAGGCACACCGTAGTAAGTTGGGTGCAACGGCTGTTTGGTGTGTGCACTTGGGGTTGGCAGCGGAAAGCAAGGGGTGGCTGCTATGGGAGCCGAGCAAAGGAGTGGTGTTTGACAGCAGGGATGTCAAATTCATGGAGGACATCACCTACGGAAGCTGATCCAAGCAACCAAAGGAGAAACTCATGCAGCAGCTGGAGCAAACAACGATGGGGTTTGATGAGGAGGAGTGGGTAGGAGAGGAAGGTGCAACACCACACGAGGAGGAGAGTGCAGCAGAGCTTCCCGTGTTCAAGGGCGTGGAACCAAAGGTTGCACCTGAGGAACCTTACCCTATAACTCGTGTGATTCCCCCCACCCTTCCCCTGAGAAGAACCCAAATCAAAACCCTTCCCACAGGTCGTGCTCTTTCACCCATGATCGAAAGGCAAATGCGAGCAGCCGCATTGAAACTGAGGGAATACGGAGGAACAAGGGGAGGGCAGCAGCAAACCGACGCATTGCTGGTACTTCAAAGTAGCTGTGACTCCGATGAGGAAGAGGAAGAGGAAGTCTATTGCTTCATGGCACCCGCACCGACACAACCGCTTACCATGGAAGAAGCACTCAAAGGACCGGATAGGGACAAGTGGGTGGCGTCAATGGATGCGGAATACAACAGCCAAATGGAAAATGGGACATGGGAGTTGGTGCCATTGCCGGAGGGGAAGAAAGCCATAAGCTGTGGCTAGATTCATAGGATTAAAACTGACAACAAAGGAGCCGTGTCAGTTTACAAGAGCAGGCTGGTTGCTAGGGGATACCAGCAAATGGAAAGGGAAGACATCAAGAAAACCTTTGCGGCAACTCCGAAGACACCAACATTGTGTGTTCTCCTCGCCGGTGCAGCCGTGTGTAGGTGGGTGATAGTTCAGATGGATATCACCACAGCCTTCCTCTATGGGCTGATAGATGTGGAGGTGTTCATGTCGCAGCCGCCGGGTTATGAGGACGGTACCGGACGTCTGTGCAAGCTGAAGAAGGTCATTTATGGCCTCAAACAAGCACCACACTGCTGGTACAACAAGTTGTCTTCGGTTCTAGAGGAGATAGGCTTTAGGGCGAGTGCATGTGACGAGAGTCTTTTCCTCATGGGGGAGAGGGAAAGCCTTGTCATGTTCCTGGTGTACGTGGACAACATCCTCTTATTCGGGAGCAGCAAGCAGGAAGTGATGAAGGTGCAGCAGAAGCTGATGCAAAACTTCAAGTGCAAGACCTTGGGGGAGGCGAACTACTATCTTGGGATGCACATTGAAAGGGATGTCAGCAATGGATGGGTGAAGCTGCACCAGGAGAAGTATATCAAGGACATGGGGAGCAAGTATGAGATTGAGGTCGGAAGGAAGATTGTTACACCACTTCCATCCGAGTTCAAAATCATCAAGGCCGGTGAGAATGAAGGGGTGGATCAGCGGGACCACGCTCGTTTTCAGTAAATGGTGGGGAGTTTGCTCTATGCAGCCGTGCACACGAGGCCGGATGTCTCTTTTGCTGTGGGGCAACTGGCTAGGGTGGTACAAAATCCCACCGAGGAGCAGGTGGATGCAGCTGAGCGCATCATCAAGTATTTGAACTCCTATCCCACCGTTGGAGTTCAATATTCGGCAGTGGCTCAAAAGAAGCAGAAAGGAGCAAAGGTTCTGAAGGAGAAGGGGGAGCGTCTTTGGGAAATGGAGCTATTTCTCACAGGGTATGCTGATGCAACCTGGGCTTCGGAAAAGGAAGACATGTCCTCTGTGGGAGGATATGTGTGCATGATTGGTGGTGGGCCCGTGAGCTGGAGGTCAAAGAAACAGGTGGAAACGGCGGGTTCTTCTGTTGAAGCCGAGTACATGTCAATGTATCATGCAGCCAAGGAGCTGATTTGGCTGAGGAAGCTGCTGGAGGAGATAGGGCACGAGCAGAAAACGGCTACACCGCTGTTTTGTGACAACTCTAGTGCCATTGCAATGTCCAAGAACGCGGTGCTGCATGGGCTCACCAAGCACATGCAGATCAAATGGCATTGGCTGCGCAAGGAAGTGCAGAGGGGATCCATTCAACCTCTCTATGTGAAAACACAACAGCAGACGGCATATTTTCTCACGAAGCGGCTGGCTGAAGAACCTCACTGGCGCTGTGCTAAGCTTTGCGGTATGAGCCTTAACTAGGCTCATGCAAGGAGGTGCAAGCAGGCGGTTGCTTGAGGGGGAGTTTGTTGGGTGCAAATACTATTTTTGCACATCAACCAGCCGCCTGCACGAAGTCCCGCATTTTGTGTGTGTTTTGTGTGCATTTGTTTTTGCATTCTGTTTCATGTGTTTTTGTTGTGGGCACATGGCAAGTCATGACGGATCATGACGAGTCATGAATTCTCATGACGACTCATGTTCGTTCGCTAATTTTCATGAACAATCTTGAGCGTTCATGAAAGTTACGTGCGTCATGAAAGCTCATGAAAGTTCACGAACTTTCATGGGCGCTCGTGGCGAGTGTCGAGTGTACCAGGGGGTGCAGGGCTCGAGTCCTTGACTCGGACCCTTTGACCGATTTCGCGCCGGTCAAAAAGTGCGCGAAAGTCAGGACTCGCGCGTGGGGTCCTGACATGCGCGTGTGGCCCCTCAGGGTCCGCGCGTATGTCGCGACTGTTGCGACCGTGCAAAGTTGCACGATTGCAACAGGACAGGGCAATTTAATGCCCTGTCCCATGCGAGACAAAGCACGATCGCGTCAGCGATCGGCTTTTCTCGCTTGACCGGGGGTGCCATGGGATTACGGTTGACCAACCGTATCCCGTGCTGACTCGGAAAACAGCAGCCTTCGCGTGAGAGTCACGCTGCTTGGCGTGATCAATTCGACGCAGGTACAAAACGGTAAATACCGTTTTATCAACGGTAAAATCCGTTTTATAACTGGGAAACGGTTTCTCACACAAGTATCCATGATTCCTCATGTGAACTCGCGGAAATTCATGACGTAAATTAGCAGGGGACTTTGGTTTCAACTCAAGTGGTTTTTAGTTAATTTTAATGAGGCAGATTGAGCCAAATTCTTCAGCAGTTTCACAACCGTGTTATAATACAGTAAAGCGAAGGCCTGGATTCTAGTTAAGCAACTGCTTTATGTTTTCCTTTGTGTGTTTAGGACTTTATATAAATGTGTGCTTGTATTTGCTTAAAAAAATCAAATGCCATTATGCTTTCCAAGCTCGGAATTCTACTACTACGTATTGACGAGAGTAGAAACGTAACGTGGTGCTGCCGAAACGCTGCTCGACCAGATTCCTCACTCCAGAAATCAAGCAAGGCATAACTACTCACTTTGCATCTATTATACCCTTGGCTATGAAGTGACTTGTTGTCACACTCGAAGGGTTTAAAGTGAAGTTAAGTGTTGCCAAGTTTGTTTTCGTGGTCCAGGTTTAAACGCTTCCGCATCGTAATCAAAGTTAACAAAAACTATGCTATTGTATCTCTTGCCTAGCATGGGGGGAGCTAATACCATAATCTTTGAACAGACAGCATTCACATCAA